TCCCTCCTCCCGAGAATACTTGCAACCACAGCCCTGTGAACACGGGTTGGAATCCTCATGGCCACCCTCCCAGACTCAGATCTGTGGGCTTCCCGGGCCTCCTCCAAACCAACCCAATGATCAAGGAGCCCAGTTACGAGGCTCCAGCCTGCATCAGGACCTGCCCCTGGCTCCTGGGACACGCAGATCCCTAAAACCTCAAACCGTGCGTGCAAGGCAGAAACACTGGCGGGGCGGTGTTCCTGCTCAACCAGCACCACGGATGCTGAGGCCAAGACTCCGGAATTAACCTGCATCCCGACTAGAACAAGAAGAAAGGAGGGGGAGGAATTAGGGTCCAGGAGACCCGGAGGACCGTCCCCGGGGTCCCCACTCACTGTCGATAGGGATCGTGGAAGGGCAGCGCCAGCCAGGCTCCGTGCAGCTCGTGCACGAAGTCCCGCATCTCCTCGGCGCTGCCGTCCGCCGACACGAACACCACCTCGAAGGGCGCGGGCCGCCGCGCCTCCGCCACCAGCGCGGTGTAGAAGTCGCAGAGCAGCGGCGTGAAGTCACGACTGGGGGCGCACCGGCCCGCGGCGAAATACAGAGCCACTACCTTGTTCTGCAGCGCCGCCTCCGCCTCCACCACCGCGCCCTCGCGGGTCACCAGGCGCCGCCCGCCCAGCACGTCCACCATCGCCCCGGCCACAGCCCAGAGGACGCAGCGGGGAGACCGGCGCCTGCAGGTGCGGGGCCACCTGTCGGCGGACGGGTTGCAGAGCCTTGCTCTCTGCTCAGCCCCGCCGGCCACGCCCCCGGCCCCGCCTCCCGGGCAGAGCAGCACCGGGAGCCGGGAAAGGAGCGGCAAGCGCACCAGCGCCTGCAGATGCTGGGGAAACAGCGGGGACTGCAGGGCGCTGAGCTTCAGGATCTGAGCCACGCCAGCGACACCATGCATTCAGCAACACAGCACCCTGCCCCGCCCACCTGCTATAGGCCCCGCCCACTTGCCTCGCCCCACCTACCCGCGTCCTGTCCCGCCCACCTGCTCGGTGCCCCGCCCTCCCCACCCAGCAAACCACGCCCTCACTGAGACTTAAGTGCTTTTTAGAGTCAAGTGGTCCCAGACCTGCCTAGGAGCTATGGGCCCAGCCCAGCACTCTGAAAAGCGACAAGGGAAAGAGCTGTTAGGCCTCCAGTGGGCACAGGTAGGCACTGTGTAGGTTTGAGGTTTGTACCGCGAAAAAGTTTCAGTTCCCTATCAAGCCAGGGTGTAAGAGTGTGCCCCAAACCTCAGGAAAACTCGGATGAATAACACTCAAAATGCAGTCTCTGTGAGGTCCAGGCCAGCCTAGTCTACATAGTGAGTTCCAAGCCACCCCTGCTACTGGGAGACCCTGCCTCAAAAAGACACCCCCCACCCCACCCCCACCCCCGCCAAAACCAAAACCAGAGTAGGGGCTGGAGAGATGGCTCACTGCTTAGGAGCACTTGCTGCTCTTGCAGAGGACTGGGGTTCAGTTCCCAGGGGATCTGTCTCCGTCTTCTGGCCTTCCACAAGTACCCAGCACTCACATAATGAACTTATATACATGGAGGGAAAAATACATAAAATATTAAAGTCAAGTTATGGAGGACAAAACATTAAAATGTAAAGAAAATGAAAGAAAATAAAGCACCCCAGAATATGCCCTTGAGTTGAAAGCACTTGGAAAGCAGCAATGTAAGAAAGGTTTGCTTTGTGCGCCCCTGTAGCTGCCTAAAGTCAGGGCGGCCAACAGGAACTAGGCTTCCATGAACCTCTTTCCTGGAGTCCAGGGAAGATGAGCTTTGACAAGCCAGGCAAGATGATGCTGGCACCATCCCCAGACATATCGTCCCACCATCCATCTCTGTATTCCTTGAAGGACCCGTTCATCACTAATAAGTGAACTGTACTTCTCTTCCCTGATAGGGCAGAATATATGTAAGTCCTCAGTTCTCATCACAGTTTGGGGTGCTCACTTTTCTATTCCCTATGACACCCTCGATGCAAGTAGTATTAACTTAATCAATGTGCATATTCCTTTGTGAGTGAGCCTGCCACGTGTCAGTTAATTCAACAGACACACTATGGAATGCCTAGCCACGCTGACTTTGGAAGCCTTCAGCTTCTCTCCCCGAGCCTGGTCCTACTGCCTGCCCTTGTCACCTACAGGGGTGCACAGGATTCCATATTGTCTGGGTCTGCAACTTAAGGAGTCTCAGAGCCCGGGGAATGGGGGCTGGCAGGTAGGGGTTGGGGGCTTTGTTCAGATACAGAGGGATCTTAATCTTCACTGTAGAAAGGATTTCAGAGGCTTAGTGGTTTAAGATGCTTGCTGCTGAGCCTGATGACCTGAGTTTGATCCCCAGATCTCATAGTGGGAAGTAGAGAACTTACCCCAGAAAGTGGTCCTCTGACCTCCACATACACACTGTGGCACACTAATTAATTAATTAATTAAACAAATAATCTTGAGACAAGGTCTCACTGTGTGTAGCCCAGGTTGTCTGGAACTAGTTATATAGATGAGGCTAACCTTGAACTCAGAGATCCACCTGCCTCTACCTACTGAGTGCTGGGATTAAAGGCATATACCACCATGCCCAGGCCTAAAGAATTTCAAGATTTAAGAGTCAGATCTTTAAGCAAAGCTAGCAAGTTCATGGATTAATCAAAAGGACAGACACACTTGAGGAAGGTCAGGATGGGGTGTTAGGAGAGGACCCCACAGCTGCTATGGAAGTCGTTTGGGGGTTGCTGGAGTTACATTGTTGAAGAGGTAATCTGTAACTAAGGCTGGGGAAGAATTTTGCAAGTGCTGGCCTACTTGTTTCCTTACTCGTTTTTTTTTTTTTTAATTTTATTTTTATTTATGTGCCTGTCTCTCTGTGTGTATGGGTGCCTTTAGAGACCAGAAGAGAACATCAGATCCCCTGGAGCTGGAGTTACAGACAGTTGTGAGCCACCCAACATGGGTTCTGGGAACGGACCTCCCCTGTAGGGGCAGCAAGCACTCCTAACCACTGAGCCATCTCTCCAGTCCAGAAGTGTGTGGACATTTTTATATGTAAAATTTAAGGTCACTTGTGGGAGACCACGCTGCCTGGCAGCCCTCCCTGCCCCCCAGGGCAAGCAGCCTCCGGATAACTTGCTGATCAGTCCTCCCTGCCCCCTAAGATAAGCAAGCTTTCCGATGATTCAAGATAAGCCTGAGCAACCACCAATTTCCTTATCCTGCAACCAGGACTCACGGCGCCAGTTACCTTCATCCTAAGGGACATTCATTAACCCGTTGAGACAACACCTTCCCTTCCCCTTCCCCAGCTAATTTCCCGCTTCAGCCAGTATAAGAATCCCCATGGAAAAATAAAATTTTGCAGCTTGATCAGAGTTCTTTGTCTTGCTGTCATTCTTCATGTCTCTTGTCCCATCATTCCAGGTCCCTGGGAGTTCTAGTCTCTGTCTCCCGCCCTGCAGGCCGGGGCAGTCACTTATCAGGGTACTGGACATAGGAGAAAGAAATGTGGTTAAGACAAAACTTGGATCAAAATAACTTTTAAAAATCAAAATAATTTTGCTATTATTTGATCATGAGCATGGTTCACTGGATGTCTTAATAACCTTGTCATATTTTCTGGAAGGAAGTGTTTTGTTCTTTTTGTGCATAGCTTCTGTGTGGGCCAGTCTCCAGTCAGGTGTGTCAAACTCTTGACTCAGACCCAGGTGGTTAATAATGGACTTTTCCTACTTGTGTCTCCTTAACTATTTCCTATCTTTCTATCTTGACTAATATCCAGGTTGTTTTCCATTCTGGAGGAGAAAAAATGAAGTGTGGCTAGAGATACAGATCTGTAGGCACAGTGCTTGCCTTACATGTACAAGGCCCTGGGCTTCATCCCCATCACCACAGAAACCAAGTGTGATGGTGCAGACCTGTAATCCCAGTACTTGGGAGGTAGAGGCAGAGGCAGGAGGCTGAGAAGTTCAAAGTCATCCTCCTAGTGAGATTGAGGCTAGCCTGGGCTACATAAGACCCTGTTTCAAAAAAAAAAAAAAAAGAAAGGAAGAAAGGGAGGGAGCAAGCTATTCTAAATATGGAAGAAAAGAGAAGAGCCACAGGGAAGAACAGGATTTAAAATTCAGTGGGCAGAGAGGTCCGGGTAAGTGAGATACGGAGCTCCTCGGTGCCGGCTTCCTCAAGTCTCAGCACTAAACAAAACAAATAGGTCCTTCCCTGCTTGCTCAGCATGCTGGTGGTTTGGACAAGTGGGCTTAGCCAAAGATATTGGGCAGGGTCTTCAACGCTTCTGTGATGCTGGTTCATCGTCCCCTTGGAAAACCAGGAAATGCATAGCAGAATTGGAGGGAAAGTGGAGAGAAGCTATGAGTACTTTAACTCTTGCCTGTGGAAACCTTGACTTGGGTTAAAACTCCAGAATGAGAGGAGTGGGGAGCTCAACAGTGAACCCAAGTAAGAAACACTCCTTTTAACTTGACAGTACCCCTCATCCCAGAAACTTCCCTAATGTGCAGTGGAAGCCTGGTACCCATTCCTGGGAAAAGCATCTTACCCTGCCACCCTCCCCCAGGACAAGGGAGACTTGTATGGGGCTTCTGCAAAGTCTTGCTTTGGCCTTACTAGGTACATACCAGAGGCCATTAATGCTTGTCAGTTTTTTTTTTTTTTTTTGATTTAGTTATTTTTATTTTTTATGTGTATGAGTGTTTGGCTTGAATGTATATAAGGGCACCAGTGTTATGCAATGCCTGTGGAGGCCAGAAAAGGGTGTCAGATCCTCTGGAACTGGAGTTACAGACAGCTGCTAGCCGCCATATGGGTACTGGGAACTGAACCTGGGTCTTCTTCTGCAAGAGCAGTCAGCTCTTAACTGCCCAGCCACCTCTCCAGCCTCAGTAGTCACTTCTCTTGACCTGGTTTTGCTGCGGTCCACAGGTATTCGTGTAAACCTCTGTGGGTTTCTCCTGGGACTTGTGGTCCTTGCTACTTTCATTTTTCTTTTCAGGCAGAGTTGGCTTCACCCATTGTTTGGTCGGGGGGAGGGGAAAGCAAAACAGAATCAATGAAAAACAGATTTGCTAGTTTAAGGAGTGACTGAGTCTATCCACTGTGTCTTTAAAACTAGCTTGTGGGGTTGCTGGGCATGGTGGCGCAAGCCTTTAATCCCAGCACTTGGGAGGCAGATGCAGGCGGATCTTTGTGAGTTCGAGGCCAGCCTGGTCTACATAGTGAGTTCTAGGACAGCTGGGGCTACAGGGAAACCCTGTCTCAAAAAGACCAAAAAAAAAATACCCTAGCTTGTGGGGTCTGGGGGTAAAGCTTAGGGGTAGAGTGTTTGCTTAGCATGTGCAAGGCCCTGGATTCTATCCTGGGACAGAAAAATATTGCTCCTAACTTACATCCTACCCTTTCATATATTTTCTACTGTCACGTTCCATTTTCCTGTTGTGCTGGGTTTTCCTTCTTTTGGGGGGGGGCAGGGCCTCATGTAGCCCAGGATGATCTTGAACAACTGATCCTCCTGCATCCATCTCCCAAATGCCGACATTACCGGTGTGTACCACCATGCCTGGCTTATGTGGTGTGGGGGATAGAGCCCGGAGCTTCATTCATGCTAGGCAATCACTACATTCTTAGCCCTCTTAGTCCATTTTCTACTGCCATTAACCCAATAGAAAGACAAAGTAAGTTTAAAAAACAAAACAAAAAAACGTATTTTGGCTCATGGTTCTGAATGTGCAACAAGGACTCACATCTCATGGCGGTCGTGCGGCTGACAGAAGCCCAAGGTCCTGCAGAACATCTGCATAGCAAGATGGGGAACATAGGTGTGTGCCCCTTTACCTCTTTTATTTTT